GTCAGGGGAGAAAAAATACTTCTATATGAAATAAATTTAATGGAAAATAGTTTCATGTTGTTATTTCTATTGTAATAGGAACTTGGGTTATATCTTCTTGTTACATTCAGGTGTAACACATCCATTAGGGAGGTAATTTTGTAGTTTCTTTTATTTTCAAGATGAAACATCCATGTCAGACTGTATTTCATTCAGATATAGAGAAAAACAACTCAGAACTGCTGGATGAGGTTGCATGCCATAGATTGTGAAATTCAAAGCTATGTCCTGCTAGTACTTAAAAGATTTTCATGCTTGTAGTGAATCAGTTCATCATCAGTCAGTAAATTGTGTTTGGAGAGGGAGTATATATTTAGAAATCATCCTAGAAAAGGAGAGAGAAAAATGCTTCAGCATATTTGATTTATATTTGCTTTGTGTATTTTCTGGATATAGTTTTTCAGCATTTCCCTCTGAAATATGTTCTTTTGCAGTGGCAAGTGGGATTTAGCATAGAGGGATGTGGAAGGGTTGAAATGACTCATGCTCTTCTTTGACAGCCTCAATCTGTCATCCCTCTCATGTCCAGTCTCTGCAGATTTTTGTTTTAGCATTTCTTTTGGCTACTATTGCAAAATTTTGGTGTGGTCGTTTAATTACACTATTTGCAACCTCTGTATATATGCCATATAATACATGTTTTCGTAAAACCAGTCTGACAGCAAGTTACGCCTTTTCTTTTAGGGGTCTTTTCAACAGAGATTAAATGGAGACAATCACAGAGCAGAAAGTTTAGGCTCTTAGGCTAGAAACTCCTTTCAGTTGCATACGCTGAGTTCACTGATGGTAGTGATTAAAAGCTCATGGTAAAATGTGGTCTTTAGCATTTGGCAGGAATAGGCCAAAAGCATCAGGTTCTGTAACATTGGTGTACTTTTTTGTGTGTGTGTGGTATAATGTATTTTTCTCTGTAGCTGTTTTAGTAAGATATTACTCAATCACAAATTACATTCAGAAACATATATTACTTAAGGATTGTTTTTGGCAACAGTGCAATTAAATGGTTTGTGAAAAAGGTACTTTAAATAATGAGAATACTTGCAATTGTATTATGCTTTGAGCAGCCATTTTCTGATTCATTAGAGTTAGATTGTAAAATCTATAACATTATAGATAGTATTATATATAAAACACCATCTTCAAAAGTTGGTATTTTTTCAAACTACTTTAATAGAAGAGCCTATTTAGAAGATTAGATCCTTAAATCTCCATCTGCGTGTTCATTGTTGTTATGTGCCAGTTAGCAGTTAGTTATGGGGAAACTATATGATGTCAAAAGCTTCTCATTGTATGGCTCTCTATGATGTTTCCTCTTGAATGCCTCTATCTTCTTGTCATAGTCAAAAATGACAGCTTCTGTCTTGCCAGTGATACACGGTCTAAAAATCTATTTAACTGCCTTTTGCTTATGACCATTTTGAAAAGCAGTGCAAGGCTAAAAATATTTTATTGTTGAAGAACAGCAGCTTACTCTATTTTAAAACTTTGTAGGTTATAGTCCAAGAGTTGCATTGGTTAACATCAAGAGAGTTGATTGGAGATGTCCCTGATCCTACTTATACTATGAATTCACCTTATTATAGTAATTTTTCTAATATTTCATCAAATCTTTTTTTGTTCGTGTACATTAACTTTGCAAATGTCTTACCAGAATGTTGTCACTCAATATCAAAACATCCTCATGACCTTTTAATAACTTCTAATCTAATAATTTGGAACAGCTCATAAATTTTATCAAATTGTTAAAACCAACTACTTTCTTCTTAGTCAGAGATAAGTCCTTCTTTTTATGCCAGTCTCCAGGACCTTCAGCTAGCTGGAAGCCCCCTTCTTTCTCACTGCGGGTACCAGTAAGCTTTGTATGCTCAATACTAGATTCATCCGCTTGATATGCTCCTTGCAAAAAATTGCAGAAGTATTTAAAATGGAGCTTTATTTTTAGAAACTGAACAGTATTCATGTCTGCAGAAAAGAACCTTCTGAATAACAAGGACTTGGAACACTGTTTTAGAGCCTTTGGTACAGAAAACATTCATCAAGTCGTCCAGCTTCTGTCATTTTAAGTCAATCCTTTGGAACAGGGTTTCACGATTCTCTGAGGGTAACTACTGTTTTCTCACCTCCACTTGCTTGTATGAGCTGCTAGTTTTTCTGTTTCAGTCGGACTCTGCAAAGTATCATATGAATAAGGCTTACATTGTTATATTTAGAATAAGTTCATATTTTCCAGACTGTGCTATTAACATTAAAATAATTCTTACTAAAGGGAACATAATAGCTTGGATCTGAGTTTACATGCAGGACGTAAAAGTTTTGTATTTCTGTGAAAAAGGCTAGGCATCCTTGCAATGTCAGCATGGCCAGGGCTGTCCAGCAAGGATTGAACCACGCAATCCTCATATCCTAGGGATCACCAAATGGGGTGGTGAAGCCATCATGCAGGCCTTGAAGACCAACCATCTTTTAAGGCTAGTCAGGAAGTTGCTGTGGTTATTAGTATTTAACGAGGTGGGAGTGAATCAGAAGGAGCTGAAGAAAATGAGGAGAACAGGCAGGTTTGCAAGGGGTTGGGAAAGAAGGGCAATGAGATAGGGAAAAGGAGATGGATGCCAGCAGTTCCTGCTTACACCATTTTTTTCCCCCTGCCTGTGGAAGATAGGAGTCCTGAACTTCAGTAAAAAACATACAGATATCAAAGGTGTGTTGTTGGTTATGGTAATCAGGCTTCTCCTGCATGGCGATCCCCAGGAAAGCTGCACAGAGCTCAGTCTGAGAGGGACCGCCTGCTAATGCTGTGCTGCAACTGTCCTCAATGATTTCCTTCTATGTGCTATAATTGAACATCATCCAATATCTACCGTTCAGTCAGTATCAACACCAAAGAGGAGATTTATGTAATAATACAAAAGTACAATTAGTCTTACAGCCACTGGGAGGGAAGGACTGAGAGCAGCCCAGGCCAGCTGGCAGCCATTTACCACTAGGGCCAAGCTGCCTTCAGCTGTGGGGAGGGGAAGGCTAAGGCCTGTCAGGTGAGGGAGCTGATCCTGTGAAGACCAGCTGTGGCCGAGGGTTTAAACTGAGTAGGCAGACTGGTTGCTTTTCCCCTCTGGTGAGGCTAAAAATCTCTAAACTGAGCAAGCTCAGCCAGGCAGGAGGATGGGGCCCAGCAGGTAGCAGCCATGTTGGGGTGGTGGGGGGGCTCCTTGCCGGGAGCTGTGACAGGCTGTGGGCTCCTGTGAGACTTTCCCTGTGGGATTGCTTAGAGAGTGCATGGGGGAATTCCCCTTACATTTCCTGCAGAGAAATTGTCTTTTACAGGTGGAAATAAACAAGTGAGGGGTTTAAAAAAAATAAATAAAGATACTGTTAGAGATGCTGTTCTGGGTTGTGTTTGGTGTTGAGGTAGTGTACACCGGTTTAGAAAGCACAAGAACGTTGCCATTTTCTGTCGTTAAAACATCTCAATTTCTTTCTCATTTATAATTCAGAAAACAAAAATGAAATAATATGTGTGTGAGAAAGTATTCATATGTCTTTGGAAGCTTATAAAACATAGCAGGAATTGCCTTTGTGGCTTAGTCCTACCCATAGAACAAGATGGCTGAGGCGGCAGAGTCGCCCCTATTCCTCCGCCCTTTTGTCTGGCAGAAAGGATAAAGATAAAGGAATTTTCTTGCTGTGTACTTGCAAGATTAACAAACCAGGTTTGCAGATCAAACAGGAGAGGCTCCAGGTAATCTCTCATTTTCTTGACGTGTTCAGTGGACAGGTGGCCTTGCAGGGCTCTGCTGATGCATGTTATGGGAGCAGGTCCTGGGGAGGGGAAGAGAGGCTTTTATGTGGTGGTGGTGGCTTCAAGGGCAAGTGTGGGCTAAAGCCCACGGTTTTATACCCCACCTGGGATTTAGTTGGAGCTTAGTGGAACCTTGTGCAAACCATGAAGCACTTGCGTAACATGACTCCACTTTGTAAGGAGGCTGAAGTGGGATCTTCTGAGTAAGTCCCTCCTGGGTTTCTTTTCACAGAGAGTCTTACCACAGCAATGTAATTTTGAGATAGTAAAGGCATGGGGAATTGTGGCAGAGAAATATTTATGCTTGCCAGCTATAGGTAGAAAAAATATTGTTTTCTGTGAAAGAAAGTTAGGATTGTATGAAACAATTGTTGTACTGTTTTTGTCATTCTGTTGTTAGATGTTTACGTGTTGTTTGGTCTCAAACTGTACCATGAACACAGGGAATGCATTGCAATTACTGACAAACCTAAATGGTGTTTGGGTGGAGTTAATAGGAGTTAACTACAGTTAACCACAGAGAATGTAGATTTAAGTGTACTAGTAGTTAGAGAAGCATTCATTTAACATTTGTTATAAGCTACTGTTGGTTTTTTATGAGTAATAGGGGAGCAGTTTATAGTTGAACTACTGTATAGAGAAGAAGAGCTGTGTGGCTTCGGATGGAATGCTTGGAGCCTCAGGCAGTTCTGTAAATGTTTTCTATTACAAATAAGTTTAATAGTGTACATTAAAAAGGATGTGTATTTAAACCTTTATGGTCCGTACCACGTTAGGTGGAATTACAGTAAATTGCTACATTTCATTTCTGTAATTATCTTATAAACTGCTAGTTGATATTGTCCTGAAGTTTTATGTTCAGCACATTTTAACACCAGTCGTATTTTGGACAGCTTGTATAAGCTCATTTGATTGTCTCTTAGGGGTATAAAATTACATATATATATTAAAAAAAAGAGAGATATCTATTAAAAAAGCATAAGAGTTACACACCTTTGGATGACTGTGTGTACTATTGAGAGGGGAGGGATCATGATCGCCTCCCATACTGTGATTATGAGTGTGCACGGAGCAATTTTCCTGTCACTAATAGTTATAGAAATATATGATTATGAAACATGGTCTTTTCCTTTTATTTTATTTTTTTCCATTCCTGTAGGAACTTGGAAGTAACAGCCCTCCGCAGAGGAACTGGAAGGGAATTGCTATTGCGCTGCTGGTGATTCTAGTTGTTTGTTCACTCATCACTATGTCTGTCATTCTTTTAACTCCAGGTAACCTACTTCTTTATTTTATCTTACTGAAGGTTTATGATTCATAATGCAGTCATTAAAGTGACGTATAAATGTTAAAGTATCTCTTGCCCTTAAGCATTTTTAACTTTTGGCTACTATAAATTTGGTGCCTGCAGGGACTCAAGAGTTACTGGAGGCCTTGTGGAGCAGAAGCATTTGGCTTTGGCAGTAGGTCCTTAGGATTGTGTTAGCCTTGAGACGGCTACAAGCAATCCTCATTAGCCTCAGCAGGTGTGAGCTGACTTTAAGATTTTGTCACCTGTGTCTTGGTGTAATTTCAGATTCACAGTTGAGCTAAGAGAAAGCTGTATGTCATGGAAACCTGAGAATGAAACTTCTCACTGAACCAGAAGCATGCATCTTTCATACGTACATGCACAAGCTTCTTCCCTTTTCTTTCTCTCAAAAATGAAGAGAGGGGAAATTACTTAATGGTTCAGTTACACAAAAAAAGGGGGGGAGGGCAAGTAGTAAACAAAAAAAGTAGTTGAACATGTAAAATAATTATGCCCTTTTTTTGTGTGTGTTCTAATTTGATCTGGGTTATGTTTCTAAAGATTTTCTTTTTACTGCTGGGGCAGCAACCATTTAACTATGTCTGGGAACCTAAGAGAAGGAAACAATGAAACACTGCACAAGTTTTAAAGAAAAAATATCTTTGAATTCTTTTTGTCAGATTTAAAGTTATAATGTGAAGTACCTCATTTGGATGGCATGCCTAGATAGTAAATTCTGGTCTGTAAATGTTCTGCCATGCAAGTGCCCAGTTTGTGTAAACCAAAAGGTTAATGAAGTGCTTTTTAGTTAAATAATGGTTCTAGACAATTTGGCCACTGGATGAAATCATCAAGGAAAGCTGGGTGGGTCTGTGCATGAGCAAGTGCAGAAATAGACTGATGCTGCTTGAAAGGAAGGTGGTGAGACTGAATGGAAAAGCATCAAAAAGCTTTGCTTGTCAGAGGGAGCGGGACAGCTGGAGAAAGTATGTAGGAATACTACGGACTCTGCTGCTTCCTCTGTTTTGTATAAATAAATACTACATATGCATGGTGCTGTCCAAGGAATGGTAAAGAAATGACTCCTTGCTTATTTCCACTTAGAACATTATAAGAAAAATAAAGGCAAAGTTGTGCTGCTGTAGTCTCAGTGTATAGGAGTTTCTTTGGGGAATAATAAAAAACAGATGTTGAGGGCAAATGGTGGCGTATCCTGGTATACTTGAAGACAGAAGACTGTTTTTTCTTTTCAAGGAGAGGTAACTTTTTTTTAAGGCTTGTAAAATCTCAAAAGTGTTATGCTGGAATCCACAACAATAAACATCAGTTCTGGCTCTTATATCTATATAGAATTATTAATGATGTAAAAACATAAATTGAAGTCGAAAAAAGAATGAACAACCTAGGGAAATGTTGGTTGTTTTTTTTTTTTTAATATGTTAAAAAAGCTCAGTGGATTACAACATCTCTGAGGCTGTTTCAAAATCCAGAGAGCTTGCTTGAAAACTTGATGTAAGCTGGGACCTACATTTTGGTTCAAGTCAAGCGAGTGAAAACTAGTTCTGTCAGCTCAGATGCTCTAAGATATCCCCTAGAGACTGTAGAGCTTGATACAAATAAAAACCTTTTTCCCAGAATCATCTAGGTCTGTAAAACTGGGGGCTCTTGCAGGTTGGAAATGGTTACCAAAGCAAGCTTTGGAGGGACATTGTAGGACAGCTACGTTTCCTATTTTGATCCTAATCAGTGCTGTTCGCCCTTCACTTTCATGATTAATTAATACGTTTTTGGAAGAAAATATTCTGATGCTCTGCTGGTTTGCTGACAGGTCCTGAGCACTAGACCTGAAGCTATCTGGTCTTGAATATAAGTAAGATCACTTTGGGATGTCTAGCATTCGAGGGGAGGAAAAACTTGGAGACTCTCTCACAGGTCTGGTTGTTGCAAGGTGCTCAGTTCTAAGATGCTACCAATCTGTTATTGTAAATGCTTGGGTTTGCAAATTCTTCTCATAAAATATAACAGATCTGAATTAAGATGTTCAGTGCAATAGTGAGAATTTTGTCCTATATTACCTTGGGATAGTTCAGAGTGCATTGCTTTTCATTTTTAATGCTATTTTGAGCATCAGAGACTTATTTCCGTATTTGGTTCTGCCTGTACTGATGGGTGCTTTTGAGATTTCATGTAAATTCCCCTAAATACTGTGCATCATGCTGTTTCTTTTTATAACGATGATAATAATTTCAGATGGTGGTTGCTTAGAAGCCTGATTGTTGAAAGTTTTGTGGAGGCAAAAGTGTATTTATTGATATGCCAAATCAAACAGAAATGATCTCTTTTGCCTACAATTATTTATACATTGCTTTGTCCACAATATAAGAAACTCTTAGGTCCCTGTACACTTTAACAGTTGTCATTTGACTTCACTCCAACTGTGAGCAACAGCTTTCATGCCTTTTTTAATAGAGGTATCAAAGCTTCTGTATGAGATAACAAGCTTTTAAAAGAAAATCTTCTATGTAAGTTACATGCAAAAGGCTTCAAAGAGGCTTTAGCTTCTGCTGAAGATACAAGTGGTATTAAAACTAAATGGAAAGTCTTGATTTTTTTTCCTTAATGTTTCTTATTACATGAAATATAACTTGAATATACAACACTAAGCAGGAACTGTGTTGAAATAAGAGATGTATTTTGACCTATGTCATGGTTTAACCCCAGCTGGCAACTAAGCACCACACAGCCGCTTGCTCACTCCTCCCCCCGGTGGGATAGGGGAGAGAATCAGAAGAGTAAAAGCGAGAAAACTTGTGGGTTGAGATAAAGGCAGTTTAATAAGTAAAGCAAAAGCCATGCATGCAAGCAAAGCAAAGCAAGGAATTCATTCGCTACTTCCCAGGGGCAGGCAGGTGTTCAGCCATCCCCAGAACAGCAGGGCTCCATCATGCATAACAGTTACTTGGGAAGACAAACGCCATCACTCTGAATGTCTCCCCCTTCCTTCTTCTTCCACCAGCTTATATACTGAGCATGACGTCATACGGTGTGGGACAGCCCTGTGGGCAGCGGGGGTCAGCTGTCCCAGCCGTGCCCCCTCTCAGCTTCTTGTGCACCTGGCAGAGCATGGGAAGCTGACAAGTCCTTGCCTAGTGTAAGCACTGCTTAGCAACAACTAAAACATCAGTGTGTTATCAACATGATTCTCATGCTAAATCCAAAACACAGCACTATGCCAGCTACTAGGAAGAAAATTAACTCTATCCCAGCTGAAACCAGGACAACCTACTAATGTCTTAGCTTCTGCTAAAATACGAAATATCTGTGTTGCAACTATTGTTGTGGTTTTAGTAAATTGTACCAACAATATTAGTAATATTTGGTCCCCTTTATATTGCTTGTCATTTATGCTAATACTCAGAAACTTTGTAAATGTATTTTTGTCTCAACAAAGAGATGGAAAAATGGAAGACCAGACCATTCACTAATGTAACAGATCAGTGGTAGAGTCTGAATAGACTGCCAGTCCAGTAACCTCTTGTTGGGGCTCAACAGCTCTCTATGAACCTCTATGGAATAAGTAGTACATTAAAAAAAAAACAAAACTGCACCCACGAAGTACAAATTGCTACACTGCTCTGTAGCCGGGAGTAGAAGGCTTACAGGCAAGTATCCCTGCTCGTTTTCTTCACAATTAGATAACTGCAATGATAAAGGAAGTGCATGAAGATATCAAAGAATGAGGTTACTCTTATTAAAGTAAGGGGCTGGAGTGTGGAAGAACTTGGGAGTTTCAGAATAGGAACCTGTCTATCCTCTGAGGCAATTTAATTACGAATCTAGTGATTTTTGTGTAATATTTGGAGATGACTACTGGAGAAGTATTTAAGAGAGAACAAAAGAAGATACTTGGGAATAATCTTATAAACATAACTTTCTTTATATTGGGGATTAATGGCCAGTGCAGAGACAGAAATGGCTGTTTATGAGATGCCATCGTTTGGTTTGTAAGTCAGTATAAACATAATACAAGTATCTTTCTTGCTCTGCTTTTATACTATTTCATGTTTTTGAAGTTTTGGCACATACCTGCACATACTGAAATATTCATAGATAGATTTTCTGAGATCAGAGCCTCACTCCTGCCTTTAAATCAGCATGTTTTTGTGCTTTGCATCATGACAGTATGTTCCGCATCATGACAGTATGTTCCACATCATAGGAATTATCTGAAGACCTATCTGATAGACCACTGTTGATCTGTATTTCAAAACTGAGAAATGCTCAATTGGAAGTACTAGCAGCTGAAAGCTTTTATATGAAAAATCACCTAAGAACAGCCTAAGAATTGTATAGATGATACCACCCCTTGTACAGGTGTTTTGCCACAACACTTAAGGCTGTTTCTCATTTTGGGAATGACAGTAGTTCTACCTTCATGTTAGCTTACAGTTAACGGTTTCTGAAGGTGTGGCAGACTCGAATGCTTTATGTGGAACTCCTTTACTGAGATATTGATGTTAGCATTTAAACCATGCATGCTGATAAATTACTGTTGAGCAAAGTGGCCTGTAAATCTAAAAAAAAAAAAAAAGGACAGCTTTGCAGAAAAGATTCCTTTAGGGAACATTTTGGTCAGCCAGACTGACAGAAAATGCTTTTTTGAAATTGTTTTGAGTAAAATCAAGCTCCAATAGATAAATATTCTGTTTAGAACAGAGCTGGAACTGACCCCTCCACACCATCTCTCATACTACTTTTAAATGAATAGAAAGCAAACTAAAAATTATTTTTGCTGAAGTGGAGATTCATTACCAGAAGATTCAGTTTCTGTTCAATGCTGTATAGGCTCCCTGTAACTACTGTAAATTGGCAGACAACTTTTGATATCTGACTGCTTTCTGGCAAGTTGTTTTTCCTTTTTCATGCAAACATGATATGAACTATACTAATTCCCAGTTATTGAAATACCTGTTAGCTTGCATACAATTTACGAGTGGTGGTTTTCCACTTTTCAGATGGCATTTCACATCAAGCCTTTATCCTAATGTCTAGTGTTAAAACTCTTTTTTCTACAAAAAAGTCAGTAAGCATTTTGAATTACACTATACTACATCATTATTAGTTTTATTTGCTAAGTTAGAAAGTAAATTTCATGAGGTGTTTAGACTACTTTTAACCTGCAAAAATAATATCCTATAAATTCATGAAAAGTAACGAGGCTATTAATTTCTACTTTTGCAGTCTTCTAGTATAGTAAACACAAACAGGTTTGTCATTTTGAATAAATATACATCAGTTTTTGAACTGTTGTAGTTTGATGTGTAGTTAAAAAGTAGCCATTTAGTTTTGAACAGTTGATTTTGTTTGTATCTTCTGTAATCTGTGTTCATTTTCTATACATAATATATATAATTTCAGACCGAAATATAGAAATCCGTGGGAAATAGTGTGAAGATATTGGAAATATGATTCCCTCAAGGAATAATTCAATAAAATTCAAAATGGAAATGAAAAAGAGATAGGCTATTTAGTAATGGGGTAATAAACATAAAGTGGAAAAAAGCAGTCTCTAAAATAGAACAAGTACTTTGTGAAGTACATACTAACTTCTGCTTGTGCTCAAGAAAGATTAACCCAGTATACTGTTTTGAGAGTTCATATGATGTGTAATTCATCTTACTATATATAAACTACGCATTTTGGAAACTTTAAATTACTATTTTAGAGTCTTTGGATGTCAAATCAACATTTTTCTTAAAAAATTATATAATATGAGATATCGACAGAGTGGAAAGCTAGTGTCAAGGATTACAAACAAGGCTGTATTTTGGTAATGACTTAGCATTAGAAAAAAAATTACTTTTCAAACATCTAGTAAAGTTGCTTGAAGATGCCAGTTTTTTCAGCTTAGAAATGCTAACAGCAATTTAAAAAGTTACTTTAAAATCCAATTTATATCGAGATTACTTGGCAGGCGTGTGAATTAGAAGACAGAGAGCAGAGCTGGTGTACCTTTTTTCTCTGATAGCCTTCCTGTATACAGCTGATGTATTGTTTTAGTGATTTTATTAAAGCAGTTACAAAAAAACAATCTGTGGAAACTAAACTGTCTTGGGTAAGACTGTTTTTGGCAACATAACAGCTTGTGTGAGCTTGATTGATAGTTGGCAAACTGGCAGGATATAAGGGGTCATAATAAATAGAAACAGACTCAAGAAAGGTTGGAAGGGGAATCCTTTTGGGATCACAGACAGCATCAGGACAAGGGTGTGTTGAATCAAAATAGGTGATGGAAAACAGCTTGTTGAGGGTAGGTAGTCAGCAAGGTTATGGAGAAAGGGGAAAATGGGCATATGAAGAGCTCAGTATTTGATGCTGTTAAGTTAGAAATAGTGTTTTGAAGACAGGGAATGTATTTGTGGAGCTGAGTAGAGCATATATAACAACATGTGCTTACTTTGAAGAGAAAAACTCAGTGTGTGGCAGGAGCAAGAGCTAACAAGGTCCCATGATGTGTAAACAGAGGTATTAGGTATAAATCGAGAGATAATGTTACACTGCTGTAAAGCTCTAGTAAGACTGCAAGTGGAATATTGTGTCCCGTGCTGGACTTGGAGACTACAAAAAAAAAAAACCCCAAACATCCCTGAAAGGTAGGAAGAGGGCAAAAAGCTTATTTAAGGATTAGAATGTTTGTCTTATGAGAGAGAATTTGAACAACTCTGCATGCTTAGCCTTACAAGACATCAAGTGCAAGAAGAGTTGATTATGGTGAGTAAGTGCTTACCTGGGGCCCTGCTGAGCCCTGGGAGGGAGGCGCGTGCAAAATGCAGCAGTGCCGTGGAGTGAGCAGCTGTGATGGTCTTGTGTCTAGCGTAAATTTATGATATGCGTTAAAAAGGAGTTTCTCTTCAATACAGCAAGGATGCACCTTATTAATACTAACTGGAGTGACTGCAGCAGGCAGTGCTGACATTTAAAGGCAAAAAAGTCATATTGTTGTTGATTCCAGTAAGCTTTCAGCTGGGCCTCTAATTGAGAAATTTGACTGAATAACGACCAATAACGAAACTATGGTTGACTTTATTCACTGTGAAGCGGTCACATTTTCATCTGAAACATATTACAAGATACGACCTTTACAAAGCGCATTTCTTTGTTAAAAATGCGCTGGTAACATGTTGGGTCGACATCAAGATAACAAGATTGCTCCTTGACTGTTGTGATTCTAGATATTCTTTTTCTATGGGTCTGTCGTCAGCGACGCTGATTTATATCAGCAATCTGTAAGGACAAAATCTGACTAACAAAAAGATCCTCTCATAGAGAAGGTGGATGCCTGACACATGGGAAGGAAGAGCACATAGAGCAGAGAAATACTGCAGTGATCTACGGCAAACCTGCCCAATAACGATAAAATGATTAAAAGACCTGACTGGGCATCTGTCTGGTTGATTGTGTAGGAAGTGCATAGGTGCATATTTTTGCTAGTGCAGAGGCACTGTATAACACAGCTTTTGGCAGCTGCTGTTCTCCTAAATAGCCTAAAGCAGTTAGGTGAAGTGCATAGCTGCTATCAGTGAATATTCATTGGAAACTTTGTGTTTTGACAGCAAAATTTTTGCTTTAATAGTACCTCTGATTTCACATGTTAGTGTGATAGTTCACTATTGAATCTCTGCTTATTATTTATTTCATCTACAGCACAAGAAAAGTAGAATTTAGCAGAGCTTCTTTTTTCTTTTCTGAAGCATGGAGATGATTTTAGGAGTTGGCAACTTATTTTTTTGTTTTGAAAATCAGCGTTGGCTAGCGTTCAGAAGCACAATATTCCTGGGTTTTATCATGTTTGGAAAAAACACAAGGCTGTTAGCCAAATGTTACGTTGTGCTTATCACTAGAGAGCAAGCGCAGACTATAAAATATGTGTATAGAATTTTTTTTTTTTTTTTACATTTTAATTTGTAGAATAGGTTGGTTCCCAATTTACTTACAGGAGTATTTTACTTAGTTTCTCTCTGTAGAAGGTGTTCAATATGCCCTACATCCTTTGGCTCTCAGGAAATTTTTGCATTGGTTTGTAATCAGACTTTTCTTGTGGTATTGGGCTCTGGGAAGAAGGAGCTTTGCAACTACAGTCCCAGTATAATAAATAGCCAGGCACTACATCCTTCAGTTGTCCTGTCCATAAGGTACCAATGCTTTGTTTTCTGAGGCTTTACTGAAGAAAAATGGAACATTTTCTTGCAGTGAAAAAAAATAAGAGCAAGGTATTGTTATTGTTTTCAACAGGACCTTTGAACTATGTATTCTGGTTCTGTAATTCCAATGTTTTGCAAACTACACTGAATATATTGTTTTTAATAACTATCTAAAATGATCCTGTTATGTTTATTTTAGATGAACTCGCAAATTCATCAGAAACCAGATTGTCTTTGGAAGATCTCTTCAGAAAAGAGTTCATAGTTCATAATCCAGAAGCCAAATGGATTAATGGTAAGTGTATAACCTCTAATGTAATTTGAAACTGGGAAATAATTTTGAATATTGAATGATATTACTATCCAGGCACTGAGAAAGAATCAGTTAAAATTTCAAACTCTCTTGAAATTGGCCAGTGTCCCAGTTTTCCTTGTAGTTCTGAATCATGTCTGTTTCATTAATTTTTGAAGTGGCTTTCTAATTTTAAAGCTCTGTCTAGTAGAAACCCACTAAAATTTTCTGTTTATGCTACTGACTCAGTTGGAGGCAGTGATGTAGAATTGTTTTTAAGAACTGGATCTTGTTTACGGATTCACAAAAAGACCAATTCTGAAAATTAAATTGTTCTATTAATATCTGAACTTCAGAATTTGAGAACTGGTTCTGACTTCACGTCTGGAACGGATTCTTAAATATTTCAATATACCTGTACAGCTCTTAGTCATTTTCCAATGTCTACAAATTGTATTTAATGTTCTACTTTATTGAATGATTTATAAATGGTATGTAGATTCCCAAAGAATTATGCAATTTTAATGTGAAAAAGAAAACAAATTCGAACTCTTTTTTTCAACTCATTGAACTCCTTTTCTCTTGATCACATGGGTTGTTCACACTCTTT